TACGTAAGTACTACAAAAGTAAGTGATCTAGACTACATTTTTGCATATGCAGGTTCACTGAAGATGGACTGATTATGTCCAATAACGTTATGGAACTTTTTAATCCATTTGGATTTTTAAATTTAATTTTATTCAAATATGCCATTTATAACAGAAGTGTTTTAAATGAAACACCAACAAGTTCTGTGGTGGGCACTGACAATGCATTCCAGATAAGAATGTAACTATTGATTGAGTAAACTCTCCTAAAGAAACTGAAAATTTTAATTTCACTTTTTCCGGTCCTTTATTTGTTCTATCCAGTCTCTTGTTCTATTCAGTCTCTTGAAAATGTGATCGCTAACATCCATTAGTGGATTTGCATCTGAAGAAGAAGTCTCTTGTTCCCATTTCTTCTACGTCAGTCCGAACGGCATCAAACCACTTCCTTCGTGTTCTCCCTTTTTTCTTCATCCCACGATCTTTTACTTCACGACCTTCTTGGCAAGACATTAGTGCATGTAGTCCCGAAGTCAAGTGTTACTGGAGCCACTGGAATTGCCTAGTGCTGAAAGATGATCTTCTGTATAGAACCTTTGAGAACGATGACGGTACAGAAACTAAGCTTCAGTTGATTGTACCTAAAAGTAAAGTGTCAGAATTATTGCGTCAGTTGCATGACGGTGCATCAGGTGTACACTTTGGTATTACGAAGACTCTGCAAAAGGTTCGAGAACGGTTCTATTGGGTGAACTGTAAAGATGATGTAAGAAGATGGTACCGGAAATGTGAACTGTGTGGAACCACTAATGGTCCAGTTGGTAAAAAGAGGGCACACATGAAACAGTACAATGTTGGTAGTCCTATGGAAATAGTAGTAATCGACATTGCAGGTCCACTTCCAGAGACAAATGATGGAAATAAATATATCCTTGTAGATATGGATTATTTTACGAAATGGACTGAGGCCTATGTGATACCAAATCAAGAAGCTGCTATCGTTGCAGAGGTACTGGTTAAACAATTCTTTAGCCGATTTGGTGTTCCCTTGGAAATACACTTCGACCAAGGGCGAAACGTCGAGTCAAACCTTTCCAAAACATTTCTAAGTTGATTGGTGTCAATAAGACCAGAACGACACCTCTGCATCCTCAATCTGATAGAATAGCCGAGAGAATGAACTGGACGATGGGTAAATACCTGTCCAAAGTTGTATCAGAACATTAAAGAGATTGGGACCAGCACATTCATTTATTTCTAATGGCCTACCGCTCGGCCGTAAATGAAACTACAGGCCAGACTCCAACCTGCCTGATGTTAGGTAGTGAAGTTCGTTTGCCCTGGGATCTAGATTTTGACTGTAGACCTTCCGAAGAATATGCTGCAAGCGAACATTATGTCGACTGCCTAAAGTTAAGAATGAACAACATTCATGAACTTGCCCGACAACACATCCAGTTAGCCAGTGAGAGAATGAAAGATCAATACAATTCTCGATGCAAGAATGAAAGATATGAAGTAGGTGATCTTGTTTGGCTTTATAATCCACAACGTCGTCGTGGTTTGTCTCCTAAACTGCAAAGACAATGGGAGGGTCCGTATAAAATTAAAAAGATAATAAATGATGTTATATACCAAATTAACAAGTTGCCGAAAGGTAAACCAAAAGTAATTCACATAAATCGTCTTGCACTTTATGCTGGCTCAAATGAAACAGAAGAAGTCCGAACCCTTCAACATGATCTCAAAGATAACCGGCGGCCAAGATTTAATGAATTTATGTCAAATTAGGCAGAGAGAAAGAGTCCTAGATTTGTCGTGACCACAGAAGTTCAGCAGGATCTTTTTAGTGTTCAGCATAACGCCTCTCTAGCCCACTGTGTTGCCCAAGATCTTGAGATGACTAAAGAAATATCATCCGTATTTTACAAGAAATTCGGTCACTTGGACGAGTTAAAGAACTAGCAGTATAAAGTTAGAAGAGTACTGAGATTAGGAGATGGATCTCAATCTTTGATGTATATGGTGATCAGGAAGTCGTATACAGACAGGGCAACCTACGAGGATATATGATGTGCTCTAACTAATTTGAAGAAAATCGTCTGCAATTACGACATTAAGAATTTGGCCTTACCCAAGATAGATTACCCATGCACTAGATAATCTGGATTGGAAGATTGTCAGAAGCATGCTTGAAGTGATCTTCCAAGAAACCGGTGTAAGAATTACTGTGTGTTGCACTAATCCGAAGAGATCGTGTCCTTCAAAAACAGTAGACTGTTATTTCTTTCTGAGATGTTCATGCAGAGCTGGAGAGTCCTGTAGATTTGGCCATCCTGGACCTACATATAGAGTTGCTGATCGGGACGCTCAGATCTAAGAGGGGAGCAAAGCTACGAACATGCATTCAGCGTGGTCCATGTAACGGTTGCATCTCGAAGCATCTCAGGCCTCGAGAACCATCCATAGATCTCTCGAACGCAAGAGAAAAATCCGTCACGTATTTGACTAAATTAGAATTGGAGGTAGGAATGTTCTAGAACATAGTAACTTTGGTTGTTAGAGGTTAGTTTAGTTGATAAGAGAGTACCAAACTGTCAACTTATAAAGAAATATATTTATATAAATTCGAACCGCTCGTTTTATTTAATCCCGGTACAATAAGTTAGAATTTCGGCAGATCTAGACATGCTTTGCTACTGGTATCCTACTGCTTTGTAATCTTTCAACATCCCCTCTATCTATATTTGTTACTGTTACTCTAAAGTACTAAAATTCTGTTACTGTTATCTTTCAAATTTATACTCTCTCTCTTTTGTTCTTAGAGTGATCCGTTTATTTTCTTTTGCATTTTCTCCTCTGATTTCCATATACTTGGATTTTTCTTGAATTATAATCAGGCTATATTTTTTAGTTTCTTCTTTAAATTTTGTGAACATATTTCAAAGTTCTATTCTTAAACGTGCCAGAATTACCAAGTGATCTGCGAAACCTATGCACTGTTGTGTTTTGTTCAGAATCGTACCGATTGTCTGGATCTTGGCTCCTCTTATATTATTTTTTCTATTACTAAGGTAAATGAGTCTGTTGACAGGGGTCTAGATAACTTACTTCAAAGTAGTACTAATAAAATCGCATTGTCCTAATAATTATTAATACAGCAATATCTCTATGATGGTATGTTATGTATGGCATACTAGACTAGAGGTTTTAATATTTACATTTTATGGTTGTAAGATTTTATTATTATTCTGTATAATTTTAGTTTAATACAAAAAGTTGTTGTCGTATTGACAGATACCTAATAATGAAATATTAAATGATTTGAAAACAATTTTGAGATATGTTAGTTAAAATTCTCTCATCTTCACGTATTATATTTTACATTATTACATACGTGACTAGGTATTTATTAATCATAATTATTAGATTGTTGTAATTTTATGGCCCTCTCAAATTACGATTTTTTGGATGATTCTACATAACTTATTATGCCTATGCCATAATATAATATTCACTCACTCAGTAACAGTTTTTACCCAATCACTCTGGTATATAAAAAGGAAACACGATGTTGCAATAAAGATCTTATTGCTTTCTGAAAAACTAAATGAAAACAAAGAAAAACCTGATAAAATATAAAATAGGAAAACAAAAACACGCAACAACTTCAAACATATTTATTATATACATCAAAATTATAAATATTACACTTATGCTGAGTATATATTAGTAGTACATCTAATACTGATACAGATTATGTAGCCTATTGCACTCAAAAATACGCAGAAGAAACAAATAATTGTAGAGGGGTAACAAAACTTTGGGTTACTCAAAATTTATACAACTCTTTTTTAAAATATGTAAAAGTGCCATATACTAAGGGTTTTAATTTTGAATTCCATCAACATGCATAGATTTTCTTCAAAGTTTAATGGTAAGTAGGGAAAAACAATCAAAATCTATCTTATGCCAACGTGTTCTTTTACTTTTGGGGTGAAATCCAACCTAACTGGTGGATCGGAATCTTTATATTGAATATAACCTCCAGAATTCATAAAATAAATATTCTAAACAAAAAATGTTTTAAAGAGTTTTTTCGGAAAATCAATATTATTAGACTTACTCTTACTCAATCTTTACCACCAATCCCATCATTCATAGTAGTCCCTTTACGCGTATATCGTTGACTGATAGATTTCTATCCATTAAGATAAAAAAAAGAATCAAAGAAACACAAAAAACACGTAGAAAGAATAATAGGTACATAGACTGGTTCAAATGGCTTGGCATTAGACACCAAATTAGTGTCAAAATAATACAAATACAAAATAAACGGTAGGTATATAGAAATAACCAATAAGAATGAACCTAGAGGAAAAAATAAATTGAAAACTATCGGCTACTATAATAAAAACATTTTCATTGATTTACAAGACTGATCGACTAACACAGAGTCAAAATAACCATCCTCAAATGACTACCAAGGAGTATTAGTGTGTTAAAACACTTCCAATGGATTTCAAACCAGTTTTAAAAATATTAAAAAGAAAATACCTATGTAAAAATATAATATTGGGAGTCTAAATAATTTATGTGATATGTTGTATAAGTCAAAGAAACTGATTAAAAAGTTCTGAAAGTGCTAACAAAAGTAATTCGGTACTAAAAGTACTGAAAATAGATATTTGAATCTCAGACATTTATTACCTAATATACCTAATAATAACCATAAAAACCCGTATAATAAATGTGTTTGGCTTAGTTTGGTATAAAATGTATGAAATATAGATATTATTAAAAATATATTTATAAAAAAGTAAAATATTCATTATTTTATTTACATAATATTTATGCTGGCAATAACTAATAAACAATTTAAACAAATACGATAATGAGTACAGTCAATCATTTAAAGCACTGCTTTATTAGTACACCTTCTTACACCATCTCGGCAATCACAATTCCATTCCTTATTAACTTATAAAGACAATAAATAGACCTACAATTTATAAACATATTCATGTTTCTTTCTGTTTGACAATTTTTGCTGCATAGTACACCAACTTGTTTCTGAGTTCAGAAGTCATTCGGTACTTTAATGATAAGTATGCTATGATTCTGAACAGGAGAGTGTAACCGAATATGTAAGCAAACTGATGGATTGGTATATTGTTGCTCATTCCCATGTCAGCTAATAACTTTTGTGGATCCCTAAAAAAATCATATTTATGTTAGTCTTGTTATTTTAGTAAAGCTGAAATAAAGTATGCGAATAAACAAGGACCGAAGAAAATTTGTCTAGCTGTCGTCATCTGAATATTCTTCAGTCCTTGTTTATTCGCAAAACATTTGTTAAAAAGAGCAACAAGATTTTCGAGAAAAGACATCATCTATAGATGACATTTATTTATATCCAGAGGACAGAAAATCGGACAAGAGCAGACCGAAGATCTATTATAAGGACAAGAAAAGTCACATGCTAAAAATCGAACGATAGCAGCTAACCTTGTACCAAATAATTCCCGCACCAAGTGTCTATGCGCTTCTCTCGAGAAAATTGTTATTTAGGGACATATTACATGGATATTCAATAATACATTTTATTCTATTTAATAAAACTTTCTTTTCCCACTTTAGCATTACAATCGCCCATTATTATTTTTACATCACGTTAAGGTAGGCGCTCGTATTCATCATTTAGCTGTTCATAGTAAAGATCTTTTGTTTCGTCGTCCTTGTCTTCTGACGATGTATGAATATTGATTATACTCCAATTCCTTTCCTTACTTTTAATTCGTATTGAACACATCCTATCAGAGATAGGATTAAAAGCTATGACTTTGTCCTTGATACATTCAGCTACTAAAAAACCAGTTCCAAGCATTCTATCTTTACCTCCACTTTTGAAAAGTACCATATCTCCTATATCAGTTATTTCCGATCCTAATTGTTTTGTCTCTTAAAGAGCCATTAAATCGATTTTATACTTCCTTGCCTCATTCATTAGTTCTTTTAGCGCAACTTTATAAAAGGTTCCTCTGACATTCTATGTAGCTAAATGTATCTTGTCATTCTTCGGTTTTGCCTTTGTATTACTGTCTTGTTTTGTTTCGTTTTCATAGTTCGTAATCCATTTCTTCGCGTTGATCCTCTTCATTACTTTCCTTTTCATGCTGGTGTTTAGTTTTTTGCTTTGGTCTCTACCACCAACGTTTGGTTTATGCCATCCCAGGGCCCTATTTCCTGATCGGAATACATTGTCTTATATCCTACTTTCACTTTTCTTCCTTCCTTTCCTAGTTCTTGCGCTTTCTGTCTGACATATTTCTGTACAATTCTCCCTTTCTTTGGTTCTTCTTCGGTTAATTAATTTGCTTTTGTTTCGCATGACTTTTGTTTTATCCTCTTCCTATTCAAGCTCAACCTTTACAAACTTCTCTATTTGAACATCGACTGTTAATTCTACCTGCACAATTTTTTTTTATTTTATGTTTTAGAGTCTCTGGGACATTTGGATCTATGTTCATATTTTTACGCCTTTTTCCATTTTCCAAACTTTCAAGCCATTCTTCTATTTGAAAAACTACCTTTTTTAGTTTTGTATTTTCTTCTCTTAATGTTACATTCTCTTGTCTTAACTGTCTTATTTCTTCTCTATATCCTTTTTGTTTTCTACAAATTTCGAAGAGTTCTCTTGATTAATATTCTATTCTATTCTTTTTGTAGACATTCAAAATGTTCTGGTGCTTTAAAAAGTTTATTTCTGCTCATTATATTATACGCATACCAAAAATCAATATAAGTACAAGATGTTTAATGTTAAATCGAATTCGTATGAGCTGAAATAATTTGTTTTATTCTAAAAATTTGCACTTTTACTCATCTCTTCACTATAAAACCAGATTGATATTCGCCCAACTTATTTTAAAATTTAATTTTAATTTTGTTTCTTTATAGATATGGCCAAACATTATATTTTATTCATGGTTTGTTTCTAATTTGTTTCTTCTTCTTCCTTCTAGTATGTAGGCTTTAAAGCCTGTTTCTTCTTCAATGTTAGCCTCCTAAATTATTTAAATTATCGCACCATCTTTTTCTTGGTGTGCCAATACTTTTTCGTTCATTTGGTGACTTATCTCGTGCCATTCGTACTATTTTATCCTCTGCCATTCTACTGATATTTTCGTTCCACTCCTGTTTTCGTTTTATCACCCACCCATTTATGTCTTCTATATTGTTCTTCTTATGTTTTGGCTTTCCCTATCCAACAGACTTCTCCCTGATATTCGTCGGAGTATTTTCATCTCTGTTGTTTTTAGCAGTCATCTCGTTTTAGATGTGTTAGGTCTTGTCTCCGCCGTGTATATTAATATAGGTCTAATTGCTGCTTTACAGATTCTTGTTTTTTTTTTGTCTTGTCTTAGGTGTGTGTTCTTTCAGATTGTGTCATTAAGAGAACCCGCCGGTTTACTTGCTTTTAAGCTTTGTTATCGTACTTCTTTTTCAACATCTCCGTAACTAGTTATATCTTCTACTTTGTTTAATATTTTATATTTATCAATTAGTTTTTTTCCTACGATTAAGGAATTTCCAAACTTTTTTTGCGCTTCTTAAGTCCCGCTTCAAGTCTTTGGCGAACCTTGATCAATAGTCTCGTTTTATGCTTGACAGAGTTGTTGCTAGATATGCTTTTTAAGTGGTTCGCAGTCCGCAAATATATTCGAAAACTACTGTTTTTTTTTGTCTCTCACATCCTAATATTAAAAATGAGTAAATTGAAAAGTATTTTAGAGGTGAGCGATTTATTTAATTCCAAGCTGAGCGCTTTTTACTTTTGAAGCCATCTTCAGAGCTATGGTAAAAATTTAAAAAGAACCACTACGAAAGGGAAATTCCATTGGTCAAAACATAGAAAAATTCTTCTTCGAAGGTTAAAAACTTCAAAAGTTTAAAAAAAAAATTTGTAAACAAAATTATATTTTTTGACCACTATTGGTATTTCAAAAATTTTCTCTATAAACTAATAAAGTACCTGAAAAATAAAATATTTGGTATATATCTTACTTGTAGTGACAATATATGTCGTTGCATTCCATTTCCGACCTGTTGTTTAAAAGCGTCGATGATATTCCTACCAGACCATATCGCACATAACTTAAAGACATGAAAGCTTTCATCATTGGTTCTATTCCATCTTTATAGCCCATTCCATACACGGACAACGCCAGGAGAATAGCTAAAACGTGTGGAGCAACCACAGATCCGCTCTAGAAAAAAAAAATGCAGTTACTACTCGAACACGGAAAGTGCCAGATAAGAGCATCATATTTTTTAAAACAATTTAGATTTTTAAATAAATCGCATTTTGAAAGCCAGAGATGTTTTGAATAAAAATGAATTAAACCTGCAATTAAAAACATGTTTATGTCAACGCTGGAATATGTGGTAATAATAAACTAAATATTTTAAGAGTTGTAAAGATTAAAATAAAGTGATGTAAGGACGCTGACTTTGAAGGAGTGTAGCTCTCTTAAGAATCATTTGTGAATAAGTCAAGAAACAACGTAGAAAAATAGATATATAAGTTTCATTATCAACTTCCTTGTACAACAATATACATAATCTATATCGGTGAACAAGGAACTTAATTTTTTATAGAAATGGCAAAAAAGTATTTAATTTTTGAATTAAATTAATTTACACAATAAGAGATATGTATGTAATTTATTTGTTGCTATCACTCTGTGTTTATTTAAAAATTATATATGAAACAAATAAAGTCAAACAACTAATCAAAAACACAAAAGACAAAGTTAGCTTGGAGTAAAGTAAATCATGAATGAATGAGACACACTCTGCACTCTCAACAAGTAATCGCATGGGCAGAGATGCTTCAGTTTGAAAAATGGTATCTGGGATACTGTAAATCGTAAATACTTTTTCTAGATGTCTATGTGAAGAGAAAGGATAACAGTTTTTGGTGTAAAGCAATGTATACTACTGTAGAAAAAGTTATTGAACAAAAATGAAAAATCGCATGTAATAGAGAAAATAGGGAGACTGCTAAGAAAACACAAAATAGAAACGATATTTATTACCGACAGAAAAATCTCAACCATTTTACCATCCGCCATAACAAAAATAGAAAATCAATGAGTATACGAGATTCCATTTTGGGACTGTGACATATCGTACATCGAAATGCTATCGAACGGAGAGAAAAAACGTCGTCCCTTGCCAAAAATATCTTAAACTTAGGGTTATATATAATATAACCTAACAAACCTGAACCAAACCAAGCAAACGATGTTAGCTAACATTGAAATTTAAAGAGAATGCGAAATCAAAGGATTGATAGAAATAGAAAAAAATTACAACAGTCTAAACCAAAGAGATGATGCTCAAAAGCTTTCAACAGCATGGAAAACGGTATTAAAGAAAAAGTCAAAAATAGATCGGACCACAAGACCGACTAGTAGGATCCTGCCTATGTATACACAGACAGGACCAATCACAAGAAGCCTTGCGGCTATAAAACGCATCGATCAGCAGAGTCAGTTAACTTCAAGCACCAGCTTCAAGAAGCGCTAATACCTGACTTAACGAACGATTGCAAGTGCGAGCTTGCCGAAACGTCGACAAAATGATAGTTTTTACCAATACCAAAATTATTCAACGTGAAATCAGGGATTATATATATATATATATATATATATATATATATATATATATATATATATATATATATATATATATATATATATATTTATCAAATTATTCTCGACCGTACTGCGTTAAATATTATTTGTAGTCTCAGCAATTGGTCTGTGTGAAATAAAACTCTATTTGTTATTTCTCAATATTTCGTCACGATTTTGTGACTTCTTCAGGAGAAAACTGTAAATTTATTATAATTATTATATGTAAACAAAATGAATATTTCAATACTTACAACTTAAGATTAAAAATTTTAAATTTTGATAACATATCCAATTAGATAAATGACATTTTTTTGATTTGAATTTATTTGGGAGTTATGGTAACCGCAATATTTTATAGAGTGAATTCCCATTGTACAATTTTTAGCGAATAACTTTTAATAAACAATTACATATTGTGACAGTATTATCCATATAATAAGGTGCAAAAGTAGAATATTGAGAAAGAATAAGGAACATGGTAAATTGATCTATAAAATGTAATTGATGGTACGTAGTCAGTTATTGGTCTGATGTTGTTAGATACTGATATTAAGATCTATCATATCATATATTGTTTAGTATATTACAGTAGATATTACTTAAATGGTTGGTGTCTGTCTTATAATTGATAGATTCTGGAGTTTTATTAATGTGTACCATTTCAAGGAAAAGTCGATTTTTATAATTATCAATTTGTTCTAAGATTTTTACATTATTAAAATCAAAGTTATGTCCTGTCTTTAAGTGGTGGTCTACTAAGGCACAAGAGTTTTTTCGTAAGTTACAGTCACTTTTGTGTTGAGTGACACGTTGTTTAAGCCACTGTTGACTTTGTCCAATATAACAACTTTGACATTGACTGCAATTTATTCTATAAATTATATTACTCATTAGTGAATTTGGAGTTTTAACTTTTATTTTTGAGAACAAGCTTGAATTTAGAAGTGGATTGTATTTAATTAATTTAATGTTCGGAAATGTTTTGAAAAGTGGGACAATTTGGTCTGTTAAATTTTTTATGTAAGGTATTTTTTTGTATAAAACTGGTTGTGGATTATTTATTAAAGCTCTATTGTGAAAGTGAGTGTTATAAATAAGTTTTTTTAATATATGTTTTGGGTAGCCATTGTTTAAAAACATTTCAAAAAGTTTCTTTAAATTGACATCTAGGAAACTCCGATCACAGATTGCCGTTACACGATATATTATTCAACCATATTCAGACAATACAAACGATCTTTAATTCACTTGATCAAAATATTCAATTCACTGTCGAGTATGAAAATGAAAATAGTATACCTTTTTTAGATACCAAAGTTATAAGAACTAATGATAACAGAATAATATTAGATTGGTATCAAAAAGATACTGCATCCGGCAGATTTATAAATTATTATTCTAATCATCCTAGAAATCAAAAATTCAACACAATTATATCTATGAAAAATCGTGTAACGGCAATCTGTGATCGGAGTTTCCTAGATGTCAATTTAAAGAAACTTTTTGAAATGTTTTTAAACAATGGCTACCCAAAACATATATTAAAAAAACTTATTTATAACACTCACTTTCACAATAGAGCTTTAATAAATAATCCACAACCAGTTTTATACAAAAAAAAACCTTACATAAAAAATTTAACAGACCAAATTGTCCCACTTTTCAAAACATTTCCGAACATTAAATTAATTAAATACAATCCACTTCTAAATTCAAGGTTGTTCTCAAAAATAAAAGTTAAAACTCCAAATTCACTAATGAGTAATATAATTTATAGAATAAATTGCAGTCAATGTCAAAGTTGTTATATTGGACAAAGTCAACAGTGGCTTAAACAACGTGTCACTCAACACAAAAGTGACTGTAACTTACGAAAAAACTCTTGTGCCTTAGTAGACCACCACTTAAAGACAGGACGTAACTTTGACTTTAATAATGTAAAAATCTTAGAACAAATTGATAATTATAAAAATCGACTTTTCCTTGAAATGGTACACATTAATAAAACTCCAGAATCTATCAATTATAAGACAGACACCAACCATTTAAGTAATATCTACTGTAATATACTAAACAATATATGATATGATAGATCTTAATATCAGTATCTAACAACATCAGACCAATAACTGACTACGTAGGTACCATCAATTACATTTTATAGATCAATTTACCATGTTCCTGATTCTTTCTCAATATTCTACTTTTGCACCTTATTATATGGATAATACTGTCACAATATGTAATTGTTTATTAAAACTTATTCGCTAAAAATTGTACAATGGGAATTCACTCTATAAAATATTGCGGTTACCATAACTCCCAAATAAATTCAAATCAAAAAAATGTCATTTATCTAATTCGATATGTTATCAAAATTTAAAATTTTTAATCTTAAGTTGTAAGTATTGAAATACTCATTTTGTTTACATATAATAATTATAATAAATTTACAGTTTTCTCCTGAAGAAGTCACAAAATCGTGACGAAATATTGAGAAATAACAAATAGAGTTTTATTTCACACAGACCAATTGCTGAGACTACAAATAATATTTAACACAGTACGGTCGAGAATAATTTGATAAATATATATATATATATATATATATATATATATATATATATATATATATTAACATATATATATATATATATATATATATATATATATATATATATGTTAATATATATTATTACAGGGATTATATATATATATATATATATATATATATATATATATATATATATATATAATCCCTGATTTCACGTTGAATAATTTTGGTATTGGTAAAAACTATCATTTTGTCGACGTTTCGGCAAGCTTGCACTTGCAATCGTTCGTTAAGTCAGGAATTAGCGCTTCTTGAAGCTGGTGCTTGAAGTTAACTGACTCTGCTGATCGATGCGTTTTATAGCCGCAAGGCTTCTTGTGATTGGTCCTGTCCGTGTATACATAGGCAGGATCCTACTAGTCGGTCTTGTGGTCCGATCTATTTTTGACTTTTTCTTTAATACCGTTTTCCATGTTGTTGAAAGCTTTTGAGCATCATCTCTTTGGTTTAGACTGTTGTAATTTTTTTCTATTTCTATCAATCCTTTGATTTCGGATTCTCTTTAAATTTCAATGTTAGCTAACATCGTTTGCTTGGTTTGGTTCAGGTTTGTTAGGTTATATTATATATAACCCTAAGTTTAAGATATTTTTGGCAAGGGACGACGTTTTTTCTCTCCGTTCGATAGCATTTCGATGTACGATATGTCACAGTCCCAAAATGGAATCTCGTATACTCATTGATTTTCTATTTTTGTTATGGCGGATGGTAAAATGGTTGAGATTTTTCTGTCGGTAATAAATATCGTTTCTATTTTGTGTTTTCTTAGCAGTCTCCCTATTTTTTCTATTACATGCGATTTTTCATTTTTGTTCAATAACTTTTTCTACAGTAGTATACATTGCTTTACACCAAAAACTGTTATCCTTTCTCTTCACATAGACATCTAGAAAAAGTATTTACGATTTACAGTATCCCAGATACCATTTTTCAAACTGAAGCATCTCTGCCCATGCGATTACTTGTTAAGAGTGCAGAGTGTGTCTCATTCATTCATGATTTACTTTACTCCAAGCTAACTTTGTCTTTTGTGTTTTTGATTAGTTGTTTGACTTCATTTGTTTCATATATAATTTTTAAATAAACACAGAGTGATAGCAACAAATAAATTACATACATACTTTTTACTTTCACTTTTTAGGATCTTGGTTTCCTCAAAATAAATCAAATTTAAGTTTTTTTTTTTTCATTTTCATATTTGTGAGGGCTTTCTCACAGTTTTTTTTTGTCATATTTGTGGGAACGTATTCTTGAGTTAAGTAGCTGACTGGTTTGTCCAATATAAACTCCATCACAATTCGAGCAGGGAATTTCATATCATTTTTCTTTACAGTGTTGGTTTTATTGTTAGTTATTGTAAAATTTATGCAGTCGCGATTTGAAAGTGTTGTCGATAAGGTGGTGTGGGCATGAAATAAGTGTTAGTGCTGTTTTTGCTTTTTTAATGGCCTGAGGTCTATTGATAGGATCGGATAATCTAATAGCTCTATCGGTAAGTCCGATAACTACTGATTTCTTTTAAGACAGGGGATGATGAGAGTTGAAATTCAGATATATCGACAACCAGGTTTCTTTGTTGCACCACGAAGTGGTTATAGTGCTGTTTTCTCTATGTAAGGTCAGGTCCAGAAAATTAATTTGATAATTTTTTTCAATTTCTAATGTGAATTTTAGTTTTTGGTGAAAGTTATTGAATTCATTTAGTGAAATATCCATTTTATCCTCTCGTGCTGCACTCAAGCAGTCATCTATATAGCGATAGAAAAAAGGTATATCAAAATCTATTTTATTTAAAACAATTTCCTCTAGATGCTCTAAAACTAATTGAGCGATGGCACTGGATATGCTAGCATCCATAGCACATCCATCTATTGTGATCCTAAAAAGTGAACCCAACAGGAAGAAGAGAGAGCTTCTAGAGTCTATACAAATAAAAAAAAATAATAACGCCATAAATGATAAAAAAGATGTCAAAATTTGAACAAAATATATTTTAACTTAATTTAAAAACACATAAAAAGACAATCTCAGAACGATTATGATGTTAAAATAACTGATTGTTTAAACGATAAACTAACATTAATAAACAACACATTATATTTAAAATACATTTTACATGTAGTGACTTAGTGGGTATGTCCTATGTATTTAATATTATTTTAATTGTGACGTCTACTTGTTAGTACCGAATTTTTACATGCTTGGAAGTCAAAAGTTTAACTTTTAAACAGTATTATGTCTGTCATAAAATCTTTTTTTATTACTTTTTGAAAAAGGCATGGATTTCCTGCCGAAACGTCGAAAAAAATATATAAAAATGTATTAGTATCAAATTAATTTTTTATGAATCTAAGCCCAAGAAAATCCACTAATATATATATATATATATATATATATATATATATATATATATATATATATATATATAGGTAATATATAGTTATAGTGATTATTTGCATATAATATGCTACTATTAAGCAACCAACAATATATTCGTGTTAGTGTGAAATGGTATGCAAATAATTACAACTACTATAATATAGCGGAAAAATCGTGAATCTAATAAGAAAAACAGACATGGTTAGCGTACAGTGTCGACTTCGACAGATCGATAGATACTGTCGACAGACAGTATCGAGATCCCATCAATAGTTGATGGAACAGACTTGGTAGATACTTTCTTGGTCTTGCTTCAACAATGGGTAGGTAATTAAGATAATGGAAGATATTAGGAAGATCGACCAACAAATAATTATGACTAGTTTTTTGTTTCATATTTTTTCTTTATTTTTTTAATGACCATTGTGTACGTAGTAATGATAGTAGATGCTTTAATAATTTTAGATAGTCTTACCAGTATACCACAATTGGCACCAATTGCATAGCCTAATCCCTGAGAACAAAATCCGACGTTGATTGCAATTATAGTAAACATAAAGAATCGTTCCCATTCTATTGGTTGGCCCGTCATGAAAAATACTATTGTTATGAATATCATTCCATAACCAACCTAAAAAAATGCTGATTTATAGTATGCATATTTTAACTTTTATATTCTATAATCAATAAATAAAAAATACTTTTGTTTCGACAGTGAGAATAAAAAGTAGATGGATTATCGAGTTTATGCTTTATCGATGTTGTATCGTCAAAGCCACTTTTACTTCTCAAGCCATGCTGTTGTACATTTGGTAACGATAAAGAAAGAGGTCAGCTGATTTGTATTATGTTTTAATTGTATATTATATTCCATATTTCTGTCACAAATTGAAACAAGTAGCAAGGCTTGATTGCACAAATTGCGGGGCGGATTGAGTAACTCTGCGGTTATCACAGCCGGTCCCAAGCCCAGATAAAATGTGGAGGGTGATTAGCAAGGTTAGCAACTTACCAACCGTAAAAAAATACTGCTCAAAGAAACAATGTACAGCCTCAGAACCGGGTTGTGATACTATGAAGGCAAGAAATAGGGACAAGCGAAAAATATCCAAAACCCAGATGAGAATTACTACTTGGAATATCAGATCACTCAACTCAGGGGACCAAGAAATAATCCACGTGCTGAATGGGAAAGAAATAGACATTTGTGCTCTACAGAAAACAAAAATGAGGAAAAGGTCAATCAAAATTAGGTAAATACATACTAATCTACAGTGGAGTAGCAAAATAAAACAAGGCCAAAGAGGGTGTAGCCTTACTAATACACCAAAGGTACCAAAATCACATCAAACAGTACCAATATATATCAGAAAGAATAGTAACAGCAAAAATAAGAATGAAGAAGGAAGACCTGAACATCATCGGAATATACGGCCTAGAAAATAACAAGACTCAAACAACAAGGGAATCGCTTTATGACCAATTACAACAATAAGTAGATCAAGTCAAAGGAAAGATGATTATATTGGGGAATTTTAACGCTCGAATAGACAATCAAGTAATACCCGACATTAAACAAAAACATAACGAGAATGTTCAAAAAAAAAATAGAGAACTGATTATCAACTTCTGCACGAATACCGAACTAGGAATAAGCAACACATTTTTGACCACAAAGACCAACACAAATGTACATTTATTAACACCCGTGGACAAAGATCTATGATAGATTCTTTTATAATCAAAATAATCGACGTAAGCCCAAGAGAGCGGCGAAAACACAAATAAAAATCAAAGTCGAAGGACTAAATACGGTATCCACGGAATACTCATACAGGAAAAATCAGAGAAGATCGCTGGGAATGAAATATTAGAAAACAATAACATCGTTGAATGCTGGAAAAAACTCAAAAATAACATAATTAACGCAGCAACAGAATCACTTGGATAGAGGAAAGTAACGAACACTAACATATCAAAAAAGAAAAGAGAATGGTTTAGAGAGAAAGTTAAGACAAAATTCGAAGAAAAGGAGAAAGCCTTTTTACAATACAGAACACAACAAACAGAACAGGCATACAATCACTATAAACGAATCAGAAATGAAACGAATACTTTAGTTAGACAAATAAAAAAGGAACATAGAGCTAGAAGTACAGATATACTACGTAGATGCAAGGTAGAGAACATTAAGAATTGGGTAAAAAATAAAAGAGTAGAATGAAACGATCATATAAGCCGAATGACAACAAATAGAGTAGTAAAGACAATAAGAGACGGTTCCCCAATAGGAAGACGATCGTAGGAAGACCACGAAAACGATGGAACGACAACTTACTCGAGGCATATTAAAAACAGACAGAGTCATGTCTATATAAAAAGAATAAGAAGAAGAAGAAGAACCACGTGAATTGTTGATCGTTGGATTACAATCACGGTAAGTTATGTTTTTGTTATATGTGTAAATTTAACCTCAAAATGCGTAGGTAATCATTTCTATTGAAGATGCATCTAGCTAAAAAAACATACTTATTTAAAATTCTTAGGAAGCGCATTGTACCAAACCGTATCTACTTTAAACTAGAAAAGTCAACTTGCAAAACGCGAGAGAGCTGTTTCTAGATTTGCCATACCGAACATCCTGTCAGAAGGCAAATATGCTTAAGAGTCATGTAAAGAGAGCACTAAATGTCAAATAAAAAGCTGTGTGTGAAAAACTATTTACTAAATATTCAACTATCAGAAAAAGTAAGACAGATACCGTGGCATTTATTGGATGTCGTGGCAACTATTTTTCCCAATGTATACTCTGAAACTGAGTAAGAATCTAGATTCAATAATATAACAAGGCCTTCAGCGCAATGAAAAGAAAATCAATGATTTTCTTAAAAGTGAGTTTCTTGTGAATTATGACTTTTTCCAAAGTGAAGTTGATTGGCCTTTGAAGTTACAAAGTGGAATCGTAGAGTGGTGGATAATGGCGTTCTGCTTTTTATTTTAAATATTGATACCCAAAGTGTTTTTGATATTGGCCGTGACTCTATATCAGTATGGTAATCGATTAAAGAGTGTTTACGACAGAAATAATGAAATATGAGCAAATTAAAGCGGATCTTTGTAAAGTTGACGAGATGGTCTTAGCTGTAGCATTTGTTAGTGAATTATAAAAAAAAATTACATTCACAACACAGTACACTTTATCTGGAACTAAATGTTTTTATGTATGTTGGTATCTTTTGGAATAAAAAAAACATATTGTATAGTCATCATTGGCTTATATGATATGGAATCAGCCACGATGAACGATGAACGAAATGTAAGCCTTTAAGATGTGGCTATATGTAACTATGCTGACATTAGCGTATATAAAGAGAGTAACAAGAAAACATACTAAAATCGTCTTGACTCAGCAGCAACAGAGACAGGTTCAACTTGGGTAAACATCTACATTGCAGCAGTAAACTGTAGCTAAATAATCATCATGATCACATACTTTTAAAAGAAGACCACATCGTTGGAAGAAAGAAGATGCCTTAAATTGCTTAGCTTTACAACTACTGAAAAATAGTGAGTAGATTTTAAACTATTGTGTATCTTTGCCACAATATATCAGTATATACGTCTTTTCAGAGGCGTAACAAAGATCCCCGCTACATGAAGCTTGCGGAGAGCCCCAATATATCAGGTCGTCCCCCATCTTGTCGTCTAATATTATGTAAAAATGCTTTATTGTTAAATTATTTTACGCATGAATACGCAACGTTTTTTAAGCAGTGCCTGAAAATCTTCAAAAGCTTCTCTTGATTTAGCTAAAACGCGCCTTCTTCTCCTAACCCTAGGAAATCTTCATCATGCACTATAATACATATCTGCAAGATTCAATTTAAGATTGCAAATTTCTAAATTGGTATATTCGACAAGTGCTTCATTCCATATTTACTATACCATTAACATAAACCTAATGCTTTTCGGTCTCTCGACCTGTTATGATGACGACTGTAAACTACAGTAGAACCTGCTTAATTCGAACTTCGTTAATTCGAAATCTTCTTTAATTCGAATTTTTATTCTGGTCCCTAGCATTTCCTATATAAGTAATGTTAAAAAGTCGTGGATAATTCGAATTATATTTTGGATAATTCGAACTTTTCTACAAGTTAAAAATGCCAATTTTATGCTGTAAATTTCCGCTAAAAGAGGTAGTATTCTTTTCTGTTCTAACGTGCCACTTGTTTCAAGGCCATTGTACATTGTAAACGTACCTGTCACCTTAATTCTAGCCCATCTGGCAAGCCCCTTCAGTTGAGATGCGTTGGCGTTGCAATTGCAATCACCGCAAATCACGTCAAGTCACTTCGTATTGAGTAAAGATGTCGTCGCATGGTAATACGAAAACATACAAAACTTTAACGTTATCGGAAAAAATAGCGGCAATTAGAGAAGTAGAAAAGGGGACGAAGAAAATATCTGAGATTGCCAGGAACTTTGGAATTCCTCCTAACACATTATCCACCTACTTGAAGAACAAAGAAAAAATTCTCAAGAGTGAAAGTGAGTGCGGTAAAGATCGAAAAAGGTTAAGGGAGCCAGAAAATCCAAATTTAGACAGTTGTGTGTTAAAATGGTTCAAACAAGCTAGGGATAAGAAGATTCCCGTGAGTGGTCCCCTTATAAGAAGCAAAGCTGAACAATTTGCTGTTGAAATGGGGAAAACAATTTTAAGGCGAGTACAGGGTGGCTCGACGGCTTTAAAGAACGCAACACAATTTCTTTCAAATCCATTTGTGGAGAAAGTGGGACCGTTAATCAGCAAGAACCAGCCAACTAGTGGAAAAAAAATTTGGAAGAGATAATTTAGGGTATAGATGAAAGAGATATCTTTAATGTTGACGAGACGGGTCTCTTTTTTAAATGCACTCCTGACAAAATGCTAGCATTTAAAAATGAAAAATGTCACGGAGGAAAACTAAGAAAAGAAAGAGTAACTCTCCTAATTGGCGCAAACATGGACGGATCAGAAAGACTGCCTCTACTGATGATTGGCAAGTCGGCTAATCCGCGTTGTTTTAAAAACGTCAAGTCAAAACCAGTGGAATATGTGAACAGCGCATGAGCTTGATGACTAGTGATCTTTTCGAGAACTGGCTGAAAAAACTAGACAAAAAGTTCATGAAAGAAGAAAGAAAAGTTATTTTGTTTATTTTCAATTGTACGGCACACATCACTATCCCACTGATGGAAAATGTAAAAGTTATTTTTTTCCTGCTAACATGACTTCAGTTCTCCAGCCTATGGACCAGGGTGTCATAAAAAAATTTTACAGACGTTTTTTGGTTGAAAACATATTGATGGAAGATTGCGACACCCTTAAAATAAAGTTAGACACTCTACAAGCATCTCGAATGTGTAAGAAAGCTTGGGACCAAGTAACACCCGAATCGATCAAACACTGTTTCAAAAGAGCTGGTTTCACAAAAAAGGAGGAGAACATAGACGACAATTTAACAGAAGAGCTGCTTTAAGTTGACTGCTGCGGGGACATCATTTCTGATCCTGCCATCTCTTATGAAGATTTTTTTAACGTGGATGAAGATGTTGCAGTATGTGGTGAAATAACCGATACAGAGATCATCGCTGAAGTGCTTAAGGACAATGAAGAAAAACAAGGAGTGATGAAGACGACGCATCATCAGTTGCGGGAGAAATACATGTTCCGAGTGCGGCCGAGGCAACACACTATATTACGCAACTTAAACGGTAGTTTGAAAGTAAAAATGATGTAAGTCACTCTATTTTTAGTTAACCGTACATCTTAGAATCATTTGTCATTACCGAGACGTTAAATTCTAAAAAGCAGCTAAAAATTTTGGATTTCTTTAGAAAAAATTAGTCTATTTTCATTAATTGTAACAAATATGTATTCTTATTTTCAATAAATTTTTTGAGACAAAATGTTTTATTTTTTTAATGATGCGTTCTCACTGGGAATTTTTTATCTGCCGATTGTTTTGGCTAAGATTTGGCCAAAAATACCAATGAGAAAACCTGCAAATGAATAAAATCGACAATAATTGACCATTTGTTATAGCTTGCAAATGCTTTAATTGGTATTCTGGCCTAATTTTGTGGGCCCATTTTTTTGGTTGACAAAATTCGGGGGAAAATAGTAACGAAAACATCTGCAAGCCATAAAAATGGTCAACTATTGTCGATTTTTATCGTTTGTATATGTTTTTGTAGGCATCTTTGTTTTTTGTGAATATATTTTTAATTCGAATTTTTGGATAATTCTGCAAACGATAAAATATTTCGATATCTCTGTAGAAAACATCTGCAAGCGATAAAAATGGTCAACTATTGTTGATTTTTATCGTTTGCAGATGTTTTTGTAGGCATCTTTGTTTTTTGTGGATATATTTTTAATTAGAATTTTTGGATAATTCGAATTTTTTTAACGGTCCCTTAAGGTCCGAATTATCCAAGTTTCACTAATGCTTTATACGTGACTATTGAAAGGTTTGAGAATTGCAATTTTGCGGATTTTAGAACAATATTTCTACATCTAGAAATGCGTTTTCTGTTTACGTTTAGTCTTTCGATACGATATTCGGCAGTAGTTTCTTATATCCTTACATTGTTTCGTTATTTGTATTTTGTGTTATTTGTGTTGTTTTACCGTGAAAGTTGCATCCATTTGGTACGCACTTATTTATCAATTATTGATGACTGTTCTCGTGTAGTCATTGGACAATCTCTCAACAGATAAACGATAAGAAAAGGAAATATGGATAACACTTGTAATACCGCTATTATTGTAATATATCTGCTGGAGACATAATAAGTTTTAAGAGGGAATATAAAAGTTGTTCACAAAAACAAACGCTACGGGTTACGCTACTTTTTTGATACTACTATTCTACTTCTTCTAGAAGTGTTCTTTATTTTTTGTGACAACTGGTGAACTTAAACAGCAGCCTAGTGAAGCTGGTGAAACATTATTAGATCCAGTTAGCCTTAGTCAGGAATTAATAATTACTAATCGTACTCAAAGTAAAAATGGCAATTCAGAACTAGAGTTGGACGTCGAGCAGATTAATACGCTCATTGTAGTTCTAGGTAACGTTTATCACTGTTCCAATAAGGGGTTGGTATATTGGGTATTTTGCTATAAAGTAACAAATACTATAGCAGGGCCATCTAAACCTAAAGGGCCATTACCAAAAGACGCCTATAACAGTTCTTTTTCGGAAAACTTTTATTGTTTTAAATCTCCTGCTGGAACTGAACTACCACGTTACTGCTTGTGCTAGTTGCAAAAAACCGATGTTGCATATTTCGAGCTTTCGTGGTTTTTTGCGGATAGAAGAGCACAGTCATATAATTCCACATGGATTAAAAAGAGTAAACGATTGGCAGAGTCTTTAAAAAATAAGGTTTATGAATCTTTAATTTACCTCCACTCCGAGTGAATTTAGAAGAAGAAAAAATCTTTTTGGGGAAATATTTTAATTAGAATAGTAAATATAATATCAAATTTAGCGCTTGCTTGAGTTTGTTAACCCGATGTTCCTTTTATGTTTTATGTAGTATATAGTTGGATAAATGACTTGTTTCTATATAAAGTCATCTTTCAGTATCTCCAGTATTTTCCAGTATCTGAGATAAGTAACAATCCGAAAAACAATTTCTGTTCAATAAGAAATGTTCTATAATCAGTAAAAAAATATCAGTATTTTGTATATAATCACGTACTTACCAACATTGGAATGTTTACTATAGTACTAGCCAGAAAATAGGGCTTTAAGCTAAACCATCGATTAAAATACTCTCGTTTTAGTAGTTTGACTTCAATCGGAACTGAAAATAAACAAAATAAATGTGAGAATACGGGATTGTTTTCAAATTGGATGGGGCATTAAACTTGTATCACAACACGCGTCTCAATATAACTAATACCAAATCTAAACTTGTATCAAATATATTTTTTTCGTAAATTAAAAACAAAAACAAAAAACACCAAGACGAAACAAATCCAATAAAAACCAACCAAGGAATAAAAGAAGTTGTTACATCATTCCTTCTAAAATATCAGTCGGATACACTACAATGGACAGAAATATTGAATATTTTTGAATTTTCTAATTTTTATTTTTTTTTTCAAAACAAATTCTGGTCAATCAAGTAATTTATTGTGCAATAGAGTTTAGTTTAATAATGTTTAATGAACAATTTGAAGTATTTATGCGGAGAAAATTACTAATAAAATAAATGCTCAATATTAGGTAAATAAGGTTATTTTACTCTAAACTTAAATGCTAATTAAAACTGTAATATTTGCATGATCAGTAACGAGTATTCTCCCTCTAGCTTTTATTACTTCTTGCATCCTTCTCGGTATGCTTGCAAGTAAATTTTAAACATATCCTTGGGAAATTACATTTCATTCATCCTGTGCAACAAGTCGAAGCTGCTCTATCGTATTTGGAACGAGATTTTTTTGTCGTATACGGCGTTTTAGGTGATCCCACATCTACTCTATTGGATTTAAATCCGGGGTAAATAGTGGCCAATCCAATCTTCAAATTTGGACCTCATTAAGATAATTACGCACTATGACAGCGACATGTGGTCTTTCAGTCTTTCAGCGACTTTCATATCCAACGTAACGAACATATGGCAAAACATGATCTTGCAGGATTTTTTAAACGTAAGAGTCACCAGTCATCCGTCCAATTAATTCTACGAGTGCGGTGCGTCCCTACCAACTTATACCTTTATAAATAATTATGCCACCACCTCCAAAACTAACGGTCTAAGCGAGATTGCAGCTAGCGAATCGGTCTCCAATTCTTCTGTAGACGTGGTTTACAGGACCATCTGGCTTATGTATATGGTCTTACCTCATTATAAATGAAGAAAACATTGGAATACTGGTCAAGCTTTTCAATGATGTTTATTCGACTGGTGATATCCCTGAAGATTGGTTAAAGTCCAAATTCATAACACTACCAAAAAAACAACGTCCGAAAAACTGTAGCAATTATAGAATTATAAGCCTTATGAGCCACACTTTGAAAATATTTCTACGCATCATCCACAGTAGAATCAGAGATAAATGTGAAGAAGACCAGGATAAAACACAATTTGGCTTCAGAAATGGACTGGGAACTCGGGACGCCCTCTTTGCACTAAATGTATTAATGTAGAAATGTAGAGCAAAGGAAAGACGTCTTTGCTGTATTTATAGACTATGAAAAAGCCTTTGATCGAGTACAGCATCACAAATTAATTACAATATTAAAAGATAAAGGAGTTGATAATCAAGACATACGATTCATAGAAAAGTTATACTGGCGTCAAACAGCGACAGCTTGCATAAACAGAAAATCAACAGAAATATATAAAATACAAAGAGGTGTCAGACAGGGTTGTATACTATCCCCACTGTTATTTAATTTATATTCAGATATAATAATGTTAATGGAATTCTGATAAATACAATCAGATATGCAGACGATACAGTTATTTTAAGTGATGACATGAATGGACTACAGTGTCTTTTAAATGCCATTGATACAGTGGGAAGAGAGTCTGACCTAAACATAAACGTTTAGCACATCAAGATGCACGATTATATGTTGATGGTCATATAATTCAAAGAGTGTCCAGTTTTAATTATCTTGGTTGCCATATTACTGAACAACTAAATCCAGATCAAGAGATAAAATGTAGAATCGAGATAGCCCGCACCACATTTTTAAAAATGAGGTCATTCTTCTGTAATGATAACTTGCAACTTCAACTTCGAAAGCGCATGGTTAAATGCTACATTTGGTCAGTCCTCTTGTACGGTGTCGAAGCATGTACAATAAAAATATCCACCATTATTCGTCTGGAGGCCTTTGAAATGTGGCTGCACAGACGTATACTAAAAATTCCATGGACGGCTATGCTGACAAATGTGGCAGTCCTTGAGAGAGCAAATGCTGCTCGCGAGCTGCTTGATAACATCAAATGTAAAAAGATGGCCTATTTTGGACACGTAGTAAGGGGAGACCGATATAATATTCTTCAACTTATTATGATGGGTAAAATCGAAGGACGCAGAGAAATTGGTAGAAAGCAGGCCTTTTGGTTGAAGAATATCAGGGAGTGGACAAGAATAAGGAAAGCTGAGCAACTCTTTAGAATAGCTCGAGACAGAGACAGTTTCGCCATGTTAATCGACAACGTCAAGGGGACTTGATAAGGCACGTTAAGAAGAATATAGTCTTGCAAATTTTAAACAACGAGCTTTATGATTGTGAAGAAGTCATGAAAGTTTGGCCTGGCGTCTAAGCTTTCAATTTGCTTCTTTTAATCTGTGTCTAACTGTTTTTGAACTCACATTAACTTGTCTAACATTTAATAGCAACTATACTAAATTACAAACAGAAGGAAGAATAAGACGTGCAAGACGCTTTTTTAAAAGATAGAGGAAATTTTGATGTAGGACCAAGCAACAAATCCCTAATCCCTAGACTGAAGAAGGAGAAGAAAAAGAAAATAATAGTTATTAAAATTACCTGGCTAACCTTTGGCCACGAGAAAACGATCTAGTTTATTTATTGACCATTTAATTAAATACGAAATTAAAATATTGTCCTGAAGCCATTTTGTTGTGGCATCTTTATGCAATGTACTATTTTTATTGGGAATAGGCCACAATATTATTTAGAATAAGTTTATTGGACGTTTTGATTTCCACTATTTAATGTGCTATTTCACGTGTTTATATTATACCATTCCATGTATTATTTTTATTGGATTTGTAAATCAGTTTTTTACCATTATAAATTAATTATAAATAAACATAATTGTATGCATGTCTTTCTGATTAGGTTCAGTCAACATGTACACAAAAATGTCCAACACTGATTTATATACATGTACACAATGTTTCATGTTTTACTAAAAAAAAATAATAAATACATACACAGTAACACTGGTGACATCACATGAGTATACACGAAAAACACGTTAATCGTTACACAATACTTAAATATAGGTAGAACTTGACTCGCTTCATTTCCAATCTGGTAAAATATTCCACCGACTAACGAAGCTGAAAGGACGTGATGGAAGAATTGTATGGCCCACATTGATTTATTTCTTTTCAACTGTAAAGCCATGCGACATAAAAGCACGGTGAATTGTGTCCAGAAAGATGTTGGGTATTCTATGTCATGGACATTCATACCTAAAACAAAGTACATATGCAAAATGTATGTCTAACAGGAGAGTTATATTTAAACTCGAATACAAATTTTAATTAAAAAATACTTTATAAAAAGGTATATTTATTTAAAAGAACTCTTTCGGGCTGCATTATAGAACTGTTTCGGAATGACTATTCCATCGCCAGTGCTGCTACGTGGAATAAGTATTTCAATTTCAATTAAGACAAACGTAAATGTTAAGTTTTGACTAGGGTTAAAACAAATGTGGGTAACGTAAAACTCCCACATTGAGGTTGCTGGCCCTCAGAGGTACCTACTCTCTTTAAGAACCTTAGGTGCCAACTGATAACAATGACATTTTAGAACGGATGCATGAATAAAGCAGTCAATGTAACTTAAATTGTGTGTCTTAATGCTATAGCCATTGTGCATAGTTAAAAAAAAGGGAATATACTAAAACATTTTTTAATTGAAGGTGATTACTTTGCAACATCGCACTTAACTAAGCCCTTAACGATAACATTTCAACGAAATCATATTTCAATTTTGCAGAGGCGTACCAAAAAAAATTTAATTATTTATTTAAACACATAAGTAATTAATTCAATCTAAGACCGATATAGTTATTAAATTATCATATGTCTTTTAACAGGTATCTTATTCGCTCCGTGCGTAACCATAGTAGGGGTACCTTGAAACAATGCCAGCGTGCGTAGCGGCGAAATATGACAAAATTGGACCTATCTTTTACGCATAAATGTTATCAAAAATGGGTGCAAATACATGTTGCGTATTTAATTGTGCAAATAATAGCAAAAATAGTGAGTGTAATTTTTATAGATTTCCAAAGATTACATATAAATTCGAGAAAAGAAAAAGATGATTTCGTGCTATTAATATGAAAAAGTAAATATCACATAATTTAATTTTTATGCAATTAAAATAGGAAAAATTTAAATAAATAACCTTAAATGATATTTCATAAGGTTTCAAGCTAACTGCAGCCTGCCTGATGACTTTAGCTTTTATATCATAACTTTTACTACTATTGTTTTTAACTATATGCTCTTCCACATGAAAATCTTAATTTGTCAGTACTAGATTTTTCCCTTTCTTTTCCGTTTGGGGTTGCAAAGATAAATTATGATGACCCATATTTTTAGAAACCCAGTTTTAAATACTACATTTATTTTGTACATAAACTGAAAAAATATAATTAAAAAACTAATTATTCATAATTGTCAATTTCGTATATATTTAACATATTTTTAACCTCAAATTGGGAGGTCCAAAACTCTTAGATGAAGGTAATAGGTCAGTCAAGCACGGAGTGAATAGTTGTTTAACAAAATAAAGAAAAATTTCATTGTTTTTATAGAGTACCTAATACAGTACTTCAAAAAACAGAAATCTTTGCAAAATACTTATTTTTTCAGTAGACTAAACAATCTGAAATTTTAACATACGATCTCGTCGTTGCACTTCATTCTCTATTTATAGAATTGCTGTCTGCTATGAACGTTATATTTGTTATGTTTTAACTTGAATTGAATTGATTTAACTATTTATTTAAATACATAAGTAATTACATAAAAATTAAATTTAAGACCGATATAATCATTATATCTACAGGTATCTTATAGTTGTGTAACAAATTAAAGTAAAATTTTATTCTTATTAGAGAGTACCTAACATAGAACTTCAAAAAATAGAAAACTTTGGAAAATACTTATTTTTTCATTAGACTAAACAATCTGAAATTTTAACATACGATCTCGTGATTACACATCATTCTCTATTTATAGAATTGCTGTGCCCTGTAAACTTTATATATTATTTGTTTATATAAACATCAAAATATATTGTTCGTATAAATTAAAATGAATTAAGCTAAACTATTATCATGTGAATGCGTGTATATAGTAGTGCATTTGTTTATTTCAGTAAATTGTCGAAATATGAAATAAAGATGGCACTAACTACTAAAGAGTTAATAGCTTTGTTAGAAGAATACTCAGATTGTGAAAATGCTGACTCACTTAAAGTGTTTTATTTGCCGCCGAGATTGATGATAATATTATTTGTGAAAGACATTGATGATAATATTATTTGTGAAGAATCAATAAAATCGGATATTGCAAGTACATATGAAATACAGATAAATTTGAATTCTGATTATGATATTCCTCTGAACCACAGATAAAACGTCCAAAGAAAAAACCAGTCAAAAATAGTAGATCCAAATTTGTTTTTCAGTTGTAACAACAGATACTTCTTCGTGCTGCTTTCTGCTCAGTAGTAATTCAACATCAGTCTGATTGATATTTAGACAATATAAAAGCCAACAATGGAGTAAAGTCATAATTGAAGTTTTTTCACTCTTTTTTGATAAAGAATCATTCTATATTTAGATACCATTTCTATTCTGTACATAGAAGCATTTGATAAAGAAGGTTGAGAGCATTCTATACTTTACAAACATTTATGCATCGTAGAACAACCGTCACGATTTTGAAATAAATAACATAGATTTGTATATTATCTGGTTCACACTCTGCTTCAAGTTAATATACATTGGTCAAAAGATGAAGATAAAGAAGTGCACATTATAAGAGAAAGCATGAGCCGACATAGATTTATATTTATAATTTACAATAGTAAAGAATCGCTACCGCAGTGTCAAGCTTAGTACATGTACCTCAATCTAAATTTGCTTTACCAGATTCGACAATTGGCCACATTACAAAAAGAGACGATAGTGCAAGAATGTAGGATATGCAAAAGTACTACTATTTTTTTATCTAAAAGGTGTAGAATGCATCTACTCCCCGAATAATTCGAAAATTTTCACCTTGCAATTTAATTTACATTTAAGATGCAATATGTTCCTGTATTAAAAATTGTACAATTTTCCTTAAAAATGAGAAAAAAATCTTTTTTGTTGTAAATTGCAATCCTTTTTTAATATATGTGTTTTTATTCCAATCTAATAAATTAATTGACAAATTTCTCTTTGTATACTGACCGGCCGTTAACGGGTTAATACTATATAAAGAATAAATTTGCCGCAAATTTACTTTACTCACCTCAAAGTAAGTTAAAGGTAATAATAAAGTCTATTTAATAAATATATTCCCACGAAATAGAAAACACTACGCCTATGCACATTAGAATTTGGAACGAATAAACATAAACTAAAATATCATATTTCACTCATTAACATTCTTTCTAAGAACGTAAATATATATAGACCAGCAAAATATTGATATGTTTGCGGATGTTTTAAACTATTCAATAAACTTGTCTCACTACACACTCATGAACCGCACCAATTTATATTGTTACGGGGGAAAATGTTATGAGGACTATATTACTTTTTCGCTTATTTACATGGGCGAAGTATACGCAATAAAAATTACCCCTGTAAAAATTTACTACTGACATTTTACACGGTTGCCGCTACCGTTTAGTTCAATTTGTAGATTAGTCACCTTTAATTGAAATCTGTCCGACTATAGTTAAAAAATTACTTTTTGCAGTATCAGACAACAATACGTTGGGGTTAAAGAGTAATCTACCCTAACAAATCGATGATAAACTGAAAACATAATAAGGTTCTACATGTTTTAAATCAACATTTCATCATCTTTGGCTCGACAATCCTTTGTGGATCCTGGCCTGCTCTAAGATTAGTTGCCATTCTGTTCGGTTTCTGGCAAAGTGTTGCCATTTTCTGATATATAGTATCCCTAAGTCGGTCTCAACTCCATCTAACCACCCAATTGGCTGTCAGTCTCTGCTTCTTCTTCCTAAAGGTGTTCCTGTCGTTAACTTTTTAGCAATCATGTTGTCAGGCATTCGTATTATGTGTCCAGGTCCAGCACTTCGTAGTCGCTATGTTTTTACGCCCGAGTATCTTACGCTCGAATATTCCCAGAAGTCTTTCATCCTCTGCATTAGAGTTCATGTTTCCGCCCCGTATGTGAGGACCGGCATCAGCAGTGTTTTAAATAATATTAATTTTATTTTTTCTTTGGATATTTCTTGACTGGAATTGTTTTTGGAGTCCATAGTATGCCCTATTTTTAACGTTTATTCGTTTTTTAACGTTTAATTTCTTATCTTGACACTGTCATATGAGGCCTTGAAGTCGATGAATAGGTGATGGATTTCAATGTTAAAGTCTGTTTTTTTAAGGATCTGTCTTATTGAATGTATCTGGTCAGTTCTTGATTTTTCTGGAGTAAATCCGGCCTAGTATTTTTCAACTAATAGAACTGTGTAAACTTAGTCGTTCGTAATATTTGTTAGTATTTTTTAAGCAGTTGTTAACAGAGTTATACCTCTGTAGGTGTCACGCTTTATTAAGATGCTACGTGTTTACAGTGCTACTCTATGGGGTTGAATCATTGAATCATGGACACTTACCGAAGCACCCATGGGAAAACTCGAGGCGTTTGAGATGTGGTGTTATAGACGGATACTGAGGATCTCCTGGGCGAACCGAGTAACAAACATTGAGGATATTTTAAACATGTGAAATTATATCCACAGTGAAACAGCGTAAGCTAGAATATCTGGGACATATAATGCGAAATGACCATAGATATATCCTGCTGCAACTTATATTACGGGGAATATACGAAAAGAGGGAACCAGGAAAAAGAAGAATATCTTGGCTACAGAACTTACGAAAATGGTTTTCCTTGACCACTTCAGGACTATTTCGAGCTGCGGTCAATAAAGTTAGAATTGCCATGCTAGTAGCCAACATCCGTAACGGATAGGAACCACAAGAAGACGAAGGTGTCACGCTGGAGCTGGTCGCCTTTTGTATGTAACGGATATATCATGCCTTGAAACCATTCACGCGCCATAATCTCATTTTGCCAGACAAAAGTAAAAGTTTATGTAATGGTTGTGGCAGGTCGTCGCCACCATTCTTCTAGAGCTTACTACAAATTTGATCATTTCCTGGTACTTTTTTATTTTAAAGCTTTTTTATGGCTTGGTCAACATCTTTAGTGGTAGGTGGTCTTCCGTTTGGGTTGAATAGATTCCAATTATTTCGATCGGCTACGGTGTTATCTGCTTCTTCGATATAATGGCCGTTAAATTTTGCGTCGAAAAATTTAACCCATCGGGTCAAGATTAAGGTCGTATCACTTAGATTATTTCCTTCATGATCCTTACAGATCCCTATTCTTGACTTAAACTTTACTCATTTTGTTTACATTTCTGTAGAACTTTCGAGTTTCGTTTTGATTTCTTTTCTTTTTTTATGTAATCTTTTTTCTTGCATCTTTGGGTCCGGTATTCCTCCTTTGCTTTTCTTGTGCATCAAGCTTAATTTGTCTTTAGATATGCTCTATTTTTGTTATTCGTTGCTTTTTGGCTCTTCTCGTCAAACCATTCATTTTGTCTAACTGGTTTGATTTACCCCAATATTTCAGATGCCTTTTCAGTTGTTATATTTCTACATTTTATCCACAATTCCTCCACATTTTCCCCGGCTTCCAGGCTCTTTATTTTCTAGTCCATTTGACTCCTAAATCAACATTTGGTACCTATAAATTATATGTTAGATATGTGAATGCTGAGTTATTTATTATCAAAGACTGCTGTGCAAACTTATTTATGTGTGGATTCATACAATACTTCTTCTTCTTTCAGTGCCCTGTCCGATTATCGAACGTTGGCGATCATATTGGCAATAATAACCTTATTCACGGCAGCTCTAAATAAATTAGCGGTGGTTTCTTGATACCATTCTCGGAGATTTCGTAGCCAGGATGTTTTTCGTCGGCCTGGGCCTCTCCTTCCGTCTATCTTACCCTGTATTATGATATGGACCCTGTATTATGATATTATGATATGGAATCATACAATACAGAAAACCAAAAAAAAAAGAAAAGAACTATGTAATTTAATGTGGATAGATGTATAAGTGAATATATTATAGTTTAATAAGATGTTACTGTAATGTTATATCATCTGAATATAAGTTATATTATATGATTGAACTTTAAATAAATTCTGAAAAAATCTGAATTTATGGGTGAAAAGCGCGACTGAGAGATCAAGGTATGATTGTGGTATAATATGGTGTGGGGATTGTAGATGTCAGAAATAGTTTTTTGTAAAAATTGTAAGTTCAGTACCATAACGGAGCTAACCATAACGGAGCTTGAAGTATGGTTCAACGTATACAGATTGAACTAGTTAAATTCGGAACATACGAAATATATGTGTTTTGGCTCAACTTCGCTCTAGGTGGTTGGTCAACAAAAGGTTGTCAAATAATTATATTATAAAAATCCAATACTTCAGCGGGCTGCTGGATTCCGAACTCGTTCAAGAACAAGTCAAAACTCGACCCAAATAGGTTGCCCCGCCCATCACGTATAAAAATTGAAAGCAACACATAAATCTAGAATTTTATTATGCTGTCAAAACACATGGTCTAACAACCTATCGCTTCCTAAAGCCGGCTACCCACGGTACAGCGGTGTCGTTCGACATAATCGGACAGCGGCGTTGTTCAATTTGTTGGTATATCTGGTGCGCCCACACACCATACCGCGCCGCAGTATTTGTTCGGTTCTCGACCATGTCAAATCAAACAATCATTTTAGCGTCTCTTACTTTGTGTATAACTAAGCGTAAAAAGAAATGTAGATTCTGGTGCAAAGAATCCAAGATTTTGGTGCAAAATAAATCTCGTCTGCCCCTGCACCCGATTTACTAGACTGCAATGCTAATTTTAATTCTCTTTTATAGGATGTTCTAAAATTGTTAATTTTTTTTCTTACTTACTCTTCATTCGCATCGTTGTTTACTTCTTGGAACTTTAAAACTAGAATGTCCATTGCCTGTTTTCGGGCGTTTCTATCGTGATACGTTTAACCTTTTATTCACTATAAGCATTCTTGTTTTTTATATAATTCAAAAACTCTCTTAAAAAATTCTCGCTAAATCAAGCCACGTCGATTTTCTATAGTATGATCAAAGCAATTGTGTAGTTAAAAATCTATTTTTGATGACAAACACGCTCTACAAATTGATGAGATCAACTCTGCAGTACTGCAGCAGACAGGCCAGTCTGTCTGCGGTCAAATTGTACGATTTCAATGGATGCACGGTCACACACGATCAAAATCCTTGTCAATTCGTCGAACTCCATGAAGTTGAACAACGCCGCTTTATCGTGAGTGGCCGGCTTTAGGCAAGCCCCTCTTAGCAGTCAGATGAATATTTTGAGCGGTGTTGCCAATCTCAATTCTCTAGATATTTCTCAAATAAGGTGTTAACCATAAAATATTTACAGGAAAGAAAGGAAATACCTACAAACCATTAAGTTTATTTTTTATATCAGTCTGTTGTAGTAAATTGGTAAATACAATGAAAAATATAGGCAAATATCCGAATTATTTAGAAATACGAAGAAGATATAACTCTCAAAAAGATCCGCAAATCGGATTATTACACGCCGATTGACAACATTCACTTTGTCCAAGTTGTATATTGGTCCACTATTTCAAATGCAGTTCAAACAGACATATATTAAATTATATGATCCGTTTTAAATTCGTTCAATCTGTATATAAGAACATTCATTGTATCGGCATCACTTAGTTTACGTACCGGAGACCGGGACACGAGTAGTAAATTGTAGTATGCCAAACCGGTCGTCCGTGGTAGAATAAATTATCAATTGTGAGTAAGCCTTTATATTTATTTCTCTTTGCCTAAAATGACAAAATTCTTGTTCACCAAATCCCTAAGGCCTAAGTTATTCTATTTTTATTGTTATGAATTTTAAAAGTATCACTGGGCAATTTTTTTACAACATTTATTTCGGAATTATGAACAGTGTACATATTCTAACTAAAGGTATTATTAACTCTGTATAAAAAAGTTTTATCCTTACCTGCCTGTGTGGTTTCCTGGTAAATTTCATATATTCCTAGTGTCTTGTGACTTTGTAGAGGTTTTAACTTTTTATCTTTCATATTTATTTTACCGTTTTGAATTTGACTTTGCAGTATTGGAATATTATCTTGATTTGTTTGGACTAATTCTATAACTAAAATATTAAAAAAATATTTATTCACGTCCTTATTGGGAAATACTTGTTCGATATATCATTTTTCTTTTCCGAAGCAAAAGAATGTATCCAAAGTGATTTGGTTTAATTTATTGAAAGTTTGTGGTGCGAGGATATTGTTAATGCTGATAAATATAATATATTTAGAAAAACTGGCTGTCTATACTAAAATTATTACTTAAGTTTCAGAAAGACAAACACAAGAATTGGTACAGTAGGCAGTACTGTAGACTAGTGCAAAACTTCATACTATGTTTTCTGTATTTTAAAATTTGAAATAATATTTGTTTTATTTATAATTTGATTATTTATTTATTAATTTTATAGATTTTGACCTTTAACTACAGACGCTGGCGTATTTTGTATGCCAGATATGATAATTCTACTGCAAATATATTTTATAATTTAAAGACCGACCCTGTTTATCTATATAACCTATCACTGGAACTTTACCACTGGTTTTAGTTTGATTGACTTTTCTATTCTGTCCTGTAAATAAGTAATAATAGTCATCAGTTAATTTTTCATACAGGGACTGATTTCCAAAGCCATTTTATTTTTTGGTTTGCTTTTCCGAATAGTTGATCCCTATCTATCAAAAATAGTTCCTTTTTTTTTCTTTTAATTACTTTGGTGTATTTAACAATAAAGTTAACTTTCTATAGTTTTTTTCAATTAAAATGTTTGTTCAAATTGTTTACTAAGCTCAATAAAAAGGTACTTTTTCTCCTGGCTTCATGTTTCGAGATATTTTACATCAGCGATAGAATAGAAGTGTTGTATTATATTATACTGTTCTTGTTAACATATTGTGACATTTTGTAACTTTTCAATGTTTGTATAAATTTTAAATAAAATTCTGAATGTAATTTTTTTACCATAACTTATATTGTATTTATTTAATGTATTTTATAACATCTCAACATATGCATTTGACATTGTTTGACATCTATATATGACTTTACAATCATTAGAACTGAAGAAGTGCAGAAATACTGCACGAAACGTTTTCTATTAAAAGATTGAAATAGTTTTTTCATTTTTTATTTCTCCTTGACCAATATCCTCATTTACAGTGAGATTTTAATCTCACTCACATTGTGTATTTAAATTTAGACGGTCGTACTCCTTTCAATATATTATATATATATATATATTTATATATATATATATATTATATATATAATTTTTCACATTTCGCATAGCACAAGGATACAGAAAACGATATTGTCATATCGTTTCGTTCACGGCGCCAAGAGGAGGTGAGGGGCGACTTTGTAAGCTACTACGCTGTAGTGAAGTTTTGGGAGACATTCGTTTACTTTCCGGTTTGAATTTGTATCAGACCAAGTGTGTGACTATGTCTGGGATAGCCGAAATGATCATAACACTTTAGTGATACGATTCAAGCACAGGAAGTTTAACGAATTTGTCTCCTAGGCCATATATTTGGCCTTTTAATATTTATATATATATATATATATATATATATATATATATATATATATATATATAAAATTAGAGGATTGCATTCTCTTTCAGCACTCCATGATTGTCCTACACGTGTTTCAAAAAAGGCAATCATCTATTTTCATTTTAAATAGCTTCCAGTAAGCTTTGAATTTGCGATTCACCTAATTTGCTATCGAAGAGAAGTCTTCTGACTTCTTGTTCATATATTTATATGAAGAAGATATGTGTTTTTTTGATATTTTTAAATAATTATGAACTTACTAAAATCAGCTGGAGTTGACGTTTCTGGACATTCACAATTTACCAACGACATAAAAGGTACTAATTGATTTGGTGACCCGTTATAAACACAATACCCATTGGCCATAATATATACCTAAAAACAGAACTTTTTAAGAAATCATTTTTTTATATTACTGATAAATAACTACCGTAAAAAGGGGTTACATTGAACATTTTCTTCATATTTAGTTGAATAAGTTTTGTATCTGTTGCTCAATCGAATAAAAAAAAATACCACTTATGGGTCACTATAGAAGCATGACTTTACATACGTTAGATTATCTCTTGGGCGTAGCTATGTAAAAATAGCTATAAAAAAGTTGCTGTTCAATTTTACCCCGGGTTCGGGGGTAACATTGAACAGTAGTATAAATCGGTGTCTACGAGCCCACAGGTTAGTTATTCGTTCAATTTAACCCCGCCAGTGAAACAAGCGGAAAAAACTAGTGGGGAGAGTTTTGTTTGTTTTTTTTTCTCAATGGTTATATTTATTGACAAAATATTTTTTTTACATTCTTTTTTATTAAACTTTAAATTCTTTTACACAGTCTTAAAAAATCATATTTCAAACTAAAGAAATTGGTAATTTTTAAGTCAAATGACAAAACATAAGGGAAACGTATAACCGACAGTCTTTAGAAGGATTTTAGCCCAGAGTATACCCATCAAATTGGATCGAAAAAACCACTTTTCAGCTGTCAATATCCAATTCCTTAGCAGACTTTTTCTTATTCTTCGTGGGTGGTGCAGAACATCCAGAACTTTCTCCTATTTCAAAATCTTCCAATCCAATGCTTTTACCCGGTGCGATGTTAATTTTCTTTTTTCTTTGAGTTCTAGCTCTCCTTTTGTTCCTAATACCCTGTAGAAATTGTAAAACTGTGTCGTTTAAACTGTTTCCAAAACTTTCATTTGATTCAGTATCATCAGTACCAGGCAATTTCTTTAATATTTGATTTCTGTCTAAAGGGTATATACCCGTGGCCCGAAAACCACTTTGAAGGTTTTGTTCACCAGTTTCTGCGAATATTAACATCAGCTTTTTTAAAAGTTTTGGAAACATCTTCTTTGGAAGACCAGTTGATCCCGTTGCTAACTTATAATCTCTGAGTATTACACGCCATTGTTTCTTCAGTGGTGCGAACACCGCGACATCCAGGGGTTGAGCGATATGCGTAGTATTCGGCGGTAAACATATGAATCGAATATTATTTTCAACCGATAGTCTGATAATTTGCTCAGAAAAATGGCTCGCCAAGTTATCCCCGATTATTACTTTGACTCCTTCTTCATGTCTCGTGGAATAAAGGAAAACAGAAGTAAACCAATTTAAAAAATGTTGCAGAATCGAACCATCCATGAGCTGTTCGGTTGTATCTGGTTTTATCGGGTCCTCCTTCCGTCCAAGTTGTCCAAAGGTTTTCTGTTTTGTAGACTACATACAGAGGCAGCAGAACTCCTGAAGCGCTTCCACAAAACATCAAAGAAATGTTTGATTTTGATTGAGATAATAAACGTTCTGGGTATTTCACTCCTCTTTTAAAAAAGCATCTTGCAGACCCAGGATCATCCGATAAATTTGTCTCATCGAAATTGTATATACAATCGGGGGAAACTCCGTCTAGACATTGTTCAAGGTTATCAAAATAAGCAATGAAAATTTCTCTAGTGGAAGATGCTCCATTTGGGTTTATATTTTGAGGTTTTTCTTACATTTATTTCTCTGTTTCTTTTCAGAAAACCTTTAATCCAGTCGATACCAGGCAAATTATTTTTAAACTGCTTAACTCTCTTACCCATTGTATCCAAATGGCTTTTCATAACATGTCGTAAATCGTCGTGAGTCAAAGGAAAGCCCCATTCAGCGGTTTTCAAAAGCATCTTGACCAGTGCCTTTTCTTCGTCGTTGTTTAAAACTGTGGGCCTTCCGACGTCCTTCATTTTTTTGTTGTTCAGTTTGTGACTTAATGTTCCTTTTGGGATTTTGTATTTCTTCGACGCCTTGTAAAGTGATAACTGTTTTGTTTTAATTTTGCGGATTGCTTGACCCAAATTATCAGAGGTGTAATTTTTGTATGATCGACTACCCAACTTTCTAACGTAATCACGCATTTTGGACTGAGATTATCGCACTACACTACCTATTGCACCACAACTGAATTTCCTAACCACACAATGTTCCTACCGTCAAGCCAACCAATGTTATACTGAGCTCTGAGCTGAGTGAATTTCATTCAATTGATTCAAAACGAGGTAGCGTAACGCCAGACAATAATATTTAGATGGAACTCGATTGACGCCGCCCAAGCACGTTCAATCCTGCCGTTCAATGTTACCCCACGTTCCCAAAATAATTGACATATTTTTTGTATAAATTAATTAAAAATATTCAAAACCTTAATCATTTACGGTATTATGTAGAATAAGGTTCAAATAGGTACTAGTATCGTGTAAAATTAGTCATGAGAAGATATCTTTTGCATATCGCCGGCTGCAGACCAAAGTTTGAGAGATTTTTTTTTACTACCTTTATTTCAGAAACCATTTTTTATTTCATTTTTGTTAATTTTGACAACCTGCCAGAAATTTTATCAGGAAGTCCAAGAAAAACATATTTGCAACCCTCAAAAAAATATATCGGCCCAAAAAAAAAGTTTAGGCCAACTTGTAGAAAAATATAATCTTCATTGCAAAACTGTTCAATGTAACCCTCGGGTTCAATGTAACCCCGTTTTACGGTAATATTTATAGATACACCTCCGGTCCATAGTTCAGCATAATAGCGCCACCTATTCATTGTGACTGACATATTGGATGCTTGACATATTTGAGTAGTAGTTAATAAAAACTATTACTTTTTTATAATGCAGTAAAAACTATATGCAATGCTTATTGTAAGATGTGGGTTATTTTATTTTTCACTCTTTTGAGCATAAACTCCTGGAAAAACTTAATAAAACAATTGCAACTGCTGTGCATGCGGGTGTTAGTCTTCCTTTAGAATAAGTCGTAGAAGATAAATTTGTTTGTTGAGCACTATTAAAATTTAGATTTTTTTATTTTTAGCAATTCTATGTTGAACGGCTTCAATATATGTACGTTGGTTTACAGGGAAAATTTCACACAATTCGTCAAAATACTGTAACAACCATTGTAGATAAAATATTAATACACAAAATTCTGTACGAAAATTGGCCCTAACCTCCAATAGTGAACACCGAGACTGATTATTTAGGTACTTCACATTGAATTGAATGAAATGAATGAAAACACTGAATTTTCGCAGACTACTACATATTTTCTGGAAGCTGCATATAAATTATTTTTATTCTCTTATTTTATTATTAAATGAAGCATATGAGGAGCGTCTATGCAAAACCACACATGTCCACATTACATCTAAAGTGAGTTAGGAGTTGAATCTTGAAGAATTTCCTGAACTAAATCCGAATATGGCGTCAGAATTGAGCAAAACTCATTTTGTCCCATATTAAACAGATGGGAATATACGAAAAGTCATCCAAAACAACACTTGTCCAAACGCAAAATTTCATTAAATATTTCGAACAAAACTACTCATGTCCTTGGAAAAACATATCGACTAATTTATTGACTACTACAAAACTGCACTTGTCCACATAATCCAGGTTTCTGTATTGCGGATTTGCGAGTTGCTTTATATTTTTATATTCACTAATAGAGGGTAGTATTAGCCTAATATGACAATATTAAATCCTGCCTTCCTAAACATCTGATTTCTCCGCGCGGTTTCTGTATTACCTAACCTACAAATTATAAGTAGCAAACAGTGAGTAGTCTAAATTTCTGGTTTGACTGTGAGTGAGATATTATTGTTACGTTAAATAATTTAAATCATCAGTTTTATTATTAGAATATGGATGTGTCTGTGGGGTTAATTAACGTTGGTTCTAGAAAACGGCAAAGTAATATATCAACACGCGACGAAGCCAGGTTTAGAAGGTAGGAATTATTTTTATCATAGCGATAAGCGATTATCAGTGTTTCTTTTTTTTTAAGGTATGCGGATGTAGATCCCCATATGAAAAAATTTAAACGTTCTTGTAAGCACAACAGCAAAAAGTTAAATTGTTCTTCAGTTTCCTTAAAAGAGATTAAGCTACAGAGAGAAAAATTGTATGGTTATACCAGTAAAGTAGACCAAGACCAGAAGTTGTGCCATTTTATGTCAGTATGCCCCCCTCAAAGGCGACGTGGGAGGGTTAATACCCAAGAAAGCAATGCTAAACCTAAAAGCTTTCATATTTTTTATTACTTCCGTACAAAAAATAAGACTGTTCCGGTATGTAAAAAATTTCTTATGGCTGCTTTCAATATTTCTGCTGGTCGAATACGCACAGTTGCAAAATTCCTAGAATCAGGACAAATACCTAAAGAAAAGCGCGGTGGGGATAGAGTGTCACGCAAAAGCGCTCAGAAAAGAGCCAAAGTTAAAGAATTCATAGCTTCATTACCGGCATCCGAAACTCATTATAATCGTAAGAAATCCTCACGAATTTATATGTCATGTGACTTAAGTATCAACAAAATTTTTCAAATGTATAACAATGCGCAAAGCAATGAATACAAAGTAAGTCTTACAATGTTCAAGAATATTTTCTATCGTAACTTTAATATTGGTTTTAAGTCACCAGCATGTGATGTATGTGGTACTTGTCTGAACTTGAAATATGCCATTAGTAAAGAAACAGGGGAGAATAAAGCAAAAACAATGACCGACTTAAGAATTCATAAGTTACGCGCAAATGCATTCTACAAATTAGCAAAAGAGTCTCCCCCAAGAAGCATTTCATTCGCTTTCGATTTGCAACAGGTCCATCCGCTTCCGAAAACACCTATCCAAGATGCCTTTTATCTCCGGCAAATAAACTTTTATGCATTTTGTTGTGTAGATATGGAAAGCAGACATCCTTCATTTTATACATGGGATGAGTCACAAGCAAAACGAGGTTCAACTGAGGTTGGGTCAGCCTTATTATACCATCTGCGCTCTTTGGATCTAGCAGATTGTGAAACCATACGATTATTTTGTGATGGCTGCGCAGGCCAAAACAAAAATTCGTATATAATGCATGTTTTGGCCTGCTGGTTACTAGAATCTCCTGCGTCAATTCAAAATATAATAATACACTTTCCCGTACGCGGGCATAGTTTCCTCCCAGCAGACCGGGCATTTGGCAGGGTAGAGAGGTTTCTAAAACGCAAAAATGTGATCATAAGTGTAGAAGAATACAATGAAGTTTATCGTAATGTTGGAAAAGTTAATGTTTTAGGAAAAGACTGGATTTTATACAATATAAAAAACATTACGGATGACCTCTACAACAAAATTCCAGGCATAAAAAACTTTAAACGCATAGAACTAAAAAAATTTAAGACCAAAAACAACGCTATAACTATCAAGTACAGGGGAACTGAATTTTATAGATACGAAATCGAATTGAATCCATATCTTTCAATGGTTAAAAGAGGCAAAGCTGAAAAAAAATTCAAACTGAAACAGCAACCCCTTGGAAATGAAATTACTAAAGAGAAGAAACAAAACATACAGCAGTTGATGGAAAAACAATTCAATAACGATGAAAAGAAAATTAAATGGGAAGAACTACCGGAGCTTGCATTTTTTAAAAACATTATTTATGGAAATTCTCCCCAAAGAGAAAATGATGAAGAATCAACAAAAATCGACATCGACGAAGAGGAGATATGTGAATGTTTGGAAACTGATTGTGGAAAGTTACATGTGTAAATTATTGCTTTTATCTTGTTTAGTCTAAGGGACTCTCTGCATAATGATGTTCTTTTGTTATTTAACAGAAATAGGATTTTTGTTAATAAATTTTTGTTCAAAGTAACACTTGTCCATTAGTCGGTCCGGCCAAAACTACACATGTCCATAGAGTTCGAGCAAAATTGAACATGTCCAAAATATATATGGTATTTTTTCACTTATTTTCAAAAAAAATTAAATGTTTTAAAATGTTTTATGAATAAATGCCCCTATAGGTGTTTCTACTGAAACTTTCAGTAAATGAAATATCAATTGCTACTATGTAAACAGTTTTTGTGTAATAACTCAAAACTACTTTTAATGGACATGTGTGGTTTTGCATAGACGCTCCTCATATATTAAATATTTTTTCTTTAATATCTCGTAACACATCAGGATTTTTTGATCTGCTGATGTGTTTTTGTATTCGAAATTTATTATTACTACTGTTATTATTACTACCTATACTTACTTGATCAAAAATTTGGAAGAGCGAAGCGGGTGGCTGATGGATTGTACATATCACAGTTCTTTCGAGCCTAGTTATTTTCTTAAGAAGATCTATACATTGTTTAATAGATACATTATCTAATCCCCTAAAAACAAAAATTTTAATTAAAGATTCTTCTTTTTAATGAGCTATACCCAAATTTGAGCGTAGACTATTATGATTCAGTGTTTATAGATATAGAGAATTTACAGATTAGGACTACGCGGTTGGTCAATGACTTCGAAGCAACCCCTTAAACTTTTTTAGTTTTGTAGAGGAATCCACACCAAACTCACCACCAAAGGCGGGTACACTCATCTCTGAGCTACCTGGGCCGTAATCGTAATTAAATATCAAATTAGTAAATATACACAGGTACACCTATTTTGGGATACGGAGATTCCATATTTGATATTTGTAATGTTGCCAGATTTGCCGTTTCTCTTATATTATTAGTAACTTTGGTTTTTCAAATTCATCACGCTGTATAATTCACTCATTATTGGAATGTCCTTTTCAATACGAGTTCAACCATATGTAACACTTATGATTTTATGTAGTCTGGAAGGTCTTAAATACATAAAACAAAAGTCTGGCAACGCCTAATTGTCTCAATAATTTTTTTAATACTAACTATTTTTAACTACATTAAAACATAACAATTGATCATCATCATCATCAGTGGTGCTACAGCTCTAGTTGAGCCTTGACCTTCCCCAGTCTATTTCGCCAGTCGTTTCTGTTCATCGCCAACCGTTGCCAATTTGCCGCGCCGATCTTCCTTGCGTCCTCGTCCACACCGTCCCTCCATCTCAGTCGTGGTCTGCCTCTACTCCTATTTCCTACTGGGACCGATAACAGAGTTCGTCTGGGTGGGTAATTTTTCATTTGCTCTTGACACATGTCCAGCCCATCTAAGCCTACCTATTTTTATGAAGGATATTACATCTCTACCATTTACTATTTTTTTATACTTCTCGTACAATTCGAAATTATATCGCCTTCTCCAAATACCATTCTCACAGAATGCGCCCATTATTCTTCTTAGTATCTTCCTTTCGAAGACGAGCAGAAGATTTGCGTCTGTTTTGGAGATGGTCCATGTTTCTGACCCATATGTCAGCACTGGTAGGATGAGTGTTCGATATATTATTAGTTTGGTTTTCTGGCTTAAATTTCTGTTTTTTAGCTGCTTGCTTAGTCCAAAATAACATTTGTTTGCTAGCAGTACCCTCCGTTTAACTTCTTCAGATGTGTCATTATCGTTTGTTATGAGAGAACCCAAATATGTAAACTTATTTACTACCTCAAAATTATATTGGTCTATACTGAAGTTTTGTTCGGCGTTTCTAGCTCTATCTCTGTTATTTGGAATAGATGCTAACATTTTGGTTTTTTCTTCGTTTATTTTAAGGCCCATATTTTGTGCGGCTGTCAAGAAGGCGGAAGTCATCTCTTTAAGTCCTCGTGTAGTACGTGCAATCAAATCCAGATCGTCAGCGTAAGCCATAATCTGCGTTGATTTATTAAAGATTGTTCCCCTATTGTGTAACTCGGCATCTCTTATAATCTTTTTTAACGCTATATTAAAGAGAAGGCACGCCAGCGCGTCTCCCTGCCGTAACCCTGTATATGTTTCAAACGCTTGTGATATATCGCCTTGTATTTGCACTCTGCAGATCACTTTACTCATAGTTGTTTTTACGAGCCTTATTAATTTATGGGGAATGTTAAGTTCATTCATGGCTTCGTATAATTTACCTCTTAGGACGCTATCATACGCTGACTTAAAGTCCACAAAGAGATGGAACGTGTCAATATTAAATTCATTGGTTTTTTCTAAGATTTGACGTAGCACAAAAAATCTGGTCGATTGTTGACCTACCTGGCCTAAAACCGCTTTGATACTCACCAAGGATTTCTTCCACGTACGTACTTAACGTACTTAACGTACTTAACAATTGATAGATTACAATATTTTTTAACACAATGGTTACTTTATCAAGTGTTCAAAATGTGCTCTATTTGTGAGTTGACAGTAACCTAATCGATGGTAAAATGCGTCTACCACATTTTTTTCATGATTGTCTAGAATTTACTCGAGATTCATCGATTCTACGATGCTTTAGTTTTGCAAGACTTGCTGGTTTAGATTTGTAAGCTGAATTTTTTAAGTATCCCCAGTAAAAGTAATATTCAGGATTGAAATCAGGGTAAAAGTGGAGACCATTTAATTCTACCTCGTCTACCGATCCATCGTCCTGGAAATATTTCCTTTAAATAACCCTGAGCATTTACCCCAAAATAAGCAGGAGCTCCCATCTTGCCCATATCTAATTAAAATTTGCACCAAACAAGTTTACCAGTGTAGGTACAATTTTATTTCTAAGTAACATTTCGTAACTATCTGGAGTTAAACTTCCTTCAATAAAAAATGGCCCAATTAACTGAGTACCTACTATACCTGACCATATTATTGCATCACTTTAGTACCTTAAAAAATGTCGATTTACACTTTTCACACATTGTAAAGGTTGCTTCATCGGAAAAACATATTCTGTTAACGAAATTTTTTATCCTTTTCCATTTTATCCATCATTACCTTAGTAAACTCTAATCTACGATCGAAGTTATCGTCACTTAATTCTTGCAATAAGTTAATTTTGTATTTGGAGGATGCCGGTTTACAACATCCCTTCCATGGAGAGGCTTGTATCCAACAGTATCTCTTTCAGCGGCTTTGTTCTTGCTGTAAGTCCAATTAGTCCGCTAGCCTTCGACAGCTCAGTCGAGAAACTTAATTGGACTTTCAAAGTTGCTTTTTATCTGGCCTGTTGAATTGATATAGTGAAATAAAACAATTACTTGTTTAGAAAGAAACTGTAATTGAAAAAAGAAAGGGCAAGAAATAGAGCTTATAAAATTTGAGTGTGTAACTTATCGTAAGAACTTAATATATTACAATTTGCGAACGAAAGCGAACACACCATAACACTTATTCACATATTACGGCTTCCCGGTCAATTGCGTAAACTGCAACGTGGAGAATCCTCTCCGAACTTTAAAATATAGATGTTATCTCTACGAAAGTCGCTAAATCACTGGCCCCGCTGGAATATTTTTTTGTTTATGCATTTTGAAAAGCCGGTCTATCGTCAAGTAGGCGCTGTGGGCGGGTATTAACATTCTCAGAAACAAGTTCTAGGTAGACTGGATTTATTTAGGTAACCGACGCGAAAATAGAATTATTTGATACAAAATAGAATTATTGGTTTGGAGATATAGTTCTCCAACAGTATTGTTTTAAAAATATTTCTTATGTAATACACGTAAGACTGAGGAACGACCTACATCAAGCACTTGTGCAACCCTGCATGAGGATGTATGTGGATCTTCAACAAAACTTTGAAGTATATCTAGTTTTCTTGTCATTCACAACTCTTTTCTGTTTAACTGATCGGTATCTATCTAGTAAATTCGTAATTCGTCGATTGTAAATTGCTTGTCATAATTTTTCATAATTTGGTGTAAATATTCGGCGTTATTTAAAGGAGGTATTTCCCAGACGAAGGATTGGTAGACGAGGTAGAATTGAATGGCCTCCACGTTCACCTGATTTCAATCCTAAAGATTATTTTTATTGGGGATACTTGAAAAAATTCAGTTTACAAAACTAAACCAGCAAGTTTTGCAGAACTAAGGCAACGAAATATCGATGAATCTCGAATAATTTCTAGACAATCATGGAAAAATGTGGTAGACGCATTCTACCATCGATTATTGTACTGTCAACTCACACGGAGCACATTTTGAACACTTGTTAAAGTACCATTATGTTAAAAAATGTTGTAATCTATCTAAATATTGTTGCATTTTAATGTATTTAAAAATAGTAATAAAAAATTTATTGAGACAATTAGGCGTTGCCAGACTTTATGTTTTATGTATTTAAGATCTTCCAAACTACATAAAATCATAAGTGTTATATATGGTTGAATATGAGATTCCAATAATGACTGAATATACAGGGTGATAAATTTGAAAAACTAAGGTTACTAATAATATAAGAGAAACGGCAAATCTGGCAACATTGCAAATATTAAATATGGAATCTTTGTATCCCAAAACAGGTGTATCTTAAATATTGTAAAATTATAACTAGCAATTAACGAGATAATTGGCGGTTTCCAGACTTTTGGGCCACTCTGTATATTTCACAAAAACGGCAAAATTATAAGATTTAACTGAAACGGTGATATCCGAATTCTGTTTAAAAAATTCAATACTGTTAATGAAAAAGTACTTAATAGGCCTAATTCACCTCATATTAGCATCCATTATTAGCAGTTATTGTATAGACGAAACTTTATTTTATAATTTCTTTTATTAATTGGAGTTTTGAAAAACTGCTGGCAATAACAACTGTATCGTCGGCAAATCTTATATTCGTAAATATTTTTTTCTTTTAATACTTAATTACTTTAATTAATTAAAGTTAATTAATTACTTAATTCTTAAAATACAGATTAAAGAGTAGTCGGGATAGTATGCATCCCTGTTGTTTGTTCACTGTATTTTTGCTAGTTTCCGTGAACGTAGAAAAAAGCAGACTTATATTTTCACGTTTATAATCCGGGCTCTCTATATAAGTACGTTCAGCGAAAATAAAGCCTCTCGAGTTCCCAAACCGCTTTTGAAGCCAGATTGGGCATCACCAACTTGTTACTTTACATTCGCTAAAGTTTTAGGTATTTGTCTTATTTCTTATTACTCCTGTGACATTTCGTCATACGCATAGATTTCTCTTTGGCTTCCTGCCTTAGCCCGAGTAGATATATTTGCATGCATTGGAGTCAAATTTTACCACTTTCTTAACCCGACTTGTAATTTGATGCTATTGTGCTTCTTCAAGAGCTGTTTGATAATGCGATCCAGTAATTAAAGTAGCTGTATCAGAGTTCTTTCGTTAAATTTCCAATAGACTAGGTAAAACAGGCAAAACCTTTAGGTCAGTTCAGTAAGTATACATGCTTAATTCAGTATGTATACATACTGAATACTAATAATTAAATTTATTGAACAAAATATTAAAAAGAAATTAATCTA